AAGACCCTGTCTCAAAATAAAAAATGAAGAGGACTGGGGATGTGGCCCTGTGGCTAAGTGCCCCTGAGTTCAATCCCTGGTACCAAAAAAAAAAAAAAGAAGGAAAGAAAAGAAAAAAAAGAAAAAGAAAAAAAGAAAAAGAAAGAAAAGGAAGGGTGAGTCTGAGAGGGAGGAAGAGAAGAAAGGAAGAGGAAGGGACTCCTTGGGTCCTGTCACCTGAGACATCCAAGCAGAAGCCACCTGACTCCGGGCCTGGTGCTGCCAAGGGACTCAGGAATCAGACGAGGGCTGTCCCTTTGAAGAGCCTGGTGACACACGGGAAGAGCGTGTGGGGTCAGACAAAAATGGATGAATACCCACCTGGCATCCCAGTTAGCCGAATGATGTGGACAAGCGGCCCAGGCTCTCGAAAGCTGTCCTGGGTTTCCTGTAAGACGATGCTTCAGTGATCGCCGTGCAAGTTACTTGTGAGAACCGAATGAGTCGGTGTGCCAGGAAACCAGATCCATGTGACGCCAAATAAAACACACACTGACCACAGAGAAAGAACTCAGATCACCATGAACATATGAGAAGATGCTCAAATCAACCCATAAGAGAAATACAGATCACAAATTAAACACAATGTTAATTTAAATCTATCATCAGATTGGAAAATGTAATGGTTTAGGAGCACATACTGTTGGAGAGATTATGGTGAAATAGCTGTGTGTTTTGCCAGTTCAAGGCAAAATAATGCTACCCTAGGGAGGGCAATTTGGCAATGTTTATAAATATCAGAGACCAAATTTCTTAGTGATTTAACAATGTTACTTCTGGGAAATTCTTCTACAGATATACCCCTGAACATATGCAAAATGACATACATGCAAGTTTTTTTGTATCAGAAAAAACTGAAGTAGAAAATATTTAAAACAATTAAATATCCACTAATAAGAGATTTTTTAAAAAATGAAATCAGCCAGATTTACAGAAAAGGAATAGTATGCAGCTAGAAAAAGGAACGAGGAAGCTGTGCTGAAATGGTTAATTGACAAAAAAGCAAAGTATAAGCTACACACATAGCGTGTTGGTCAGCAATATGTCAGTGTGACCAAAATACCTGACAAGGAGGAAAAAGGTGATTTAGGGTCATGGTTTCAGACATTCAGTCTACGGTCTGTCAACTCCATTGTTCTGGGCCAAAGGTGAGTCAGAACATCCTGGTGGAGGAAATGCTGCTCAAATTACAGTGTCAAGGAAGCAGAGGGAAAAGGGGGAGTGACCGCAGGAATATATGCCCTTCTAGGGCACACTTCCAACCACCTACCTCCTCCTTCTATGCCCCACTCACCTACAGTTACCACCTCGTTAGTTCATTCAAACTAGAATGGACCAATTAGGTCACAGCTCTCACAAGCTAATCATTTCTCATCTGAATATTCCAGAATTAACACAGGAGCTTTTGGAAGACACCTCCTATCCAAACCATAACCTCAAGTTTTTTGGTATAAGAGGAGAGGGGGTAAAAAAAATACATACATCTTTGCTCCTTTTTGCCTAATGAAAAAAAAATTGTACATCAACAAGAAACTAATAAAAAATATTTTCCTGAAGGAGTATGGAAGGGAATAAGGAGGTAACCTAGGTGTGAATCTCCCCCCTTCTCCTTCTTATTTTTTCTCTTCCTCCTCCTCCTTCTCCTCATCCCTCCTCCTCCTTCTTCCTCCTCCTTCTTCCTCTTCCTCCTTCATCAGCATCATCTCTTCCTCCCCCTTCTTCCCCTCCTCCTCCTCTTCTTCCTCCTCCTCTTCTTTTGTCCTCTCCCTTCTCTCTCTCTTCATAATGTGTTAGTTAGCTTTTAATTGCTTTGACCAAAACATTCAATAAGAACAACTTAAAAGAGTAACAAAAGTGTGTCTGGGGCTCATGGTCTTAGAGGTCTCAGTCCCTAGATGACCAGCTCCATGACTCTGAATTCAAGGGGAGACGGCACATTTTGCAGGAAGGAACCAGAAGAGGAAAGTTACTCAGCTCATAGCAGGGTCAGGGAGCAGGGGGGGAGCAGAAGGCCCTGAAGGGAAAATGCACCCTTCCAGGGAACACCTCCGTGACCCGCCTGTTAGCCAGGCCCCCCTGCCTACAGTCACCGCCCAGTCAGTCCATTGAAAGCTAAGACGGATTGATTCCATCACCCATCTCACGTTCGGGTCATTTTATCTCTGAATTTTCGTGCATTAACAGGATACTTGGGGATACACTTCAGACCCAAACCATAAGATTTTGTCCGTGGCTGCTAAAAAAGCTCATGGCCACTTCACAGTGCAAAGTGCATTAGTCTGTCTCCGAGAGTCCCAAGGTCTTAACACCCACCGTTAGCATTGTCCAAAAGTCCAGGCCCAAAGTCTCATCGGAAAGGCAAGGCAAGTTCCTGGTTGCAATCTCCTGTGAAAGTAAGTTGGAGACGTCCAATACACAGTGCTATGGAGTAAATATTCCCAGTCCAAAAAAATAGGAGGGTTAGGGGCACAGAAAGAAAGCATGGGGCCCAAACAAGACCAAAACCCAGGAGCACACAGGTCCCCTCACTCTGCCTATAGCAGAGGGCACCTGGTTGTGAGACGTGCTACCTCTAGAGCCTGGGCACCCACCCCTTTGGCCTTGCTTGCTGTGCACAGGCGTCTCCTTTGGCTTGACTTTCTCTGCAGTCAGCAGCTTTTTTGACAGACAGTCCACCTTACTGGCATCTCTTAATTTCTGGGGTATCCATTTCAGCTTCAGCTTCACCTTCACAGCTTCGTGCATCACCTCAGGGGCAGCCCAGAGGAGCCTGCTACACTTTGTTTGGCCTCCAGGGCCTTCCTCTGAAATCTCAGCAGGTGCCTCTGTGACCCCTCCAGGAAGACTCCAACATCCATCACGCACTCCTGCAGAGCCAGCACCACATGCATGCTATCAAGGTCTGCTGCCGGCCCATGCAATACCCGGGTCCCCTGAAATCAAGGCTGCAGTGAGCTCCGCATGGTGAGACAACTTTTTAGGAGCTCCCAGTGTGAGCCAGATACACCCGTGACCTCTTCTCAAAGGAATTCTCCCTTGGAGAGCCTTGAACCCACAAAGGGTGTGGTCCCGAAAATTCCTGGGGTGTCCTCAAGACATTTCCTATTGTGCAAAGTACTCAGCATTTCTGTAAGAGCTACAATCTCATCAAGAAGCCCACCTTCCTTGGCCCTAGCTTCATATGCACTTGTCTGTTCAAGTCCAGTTTCCCCTCTGAAACCTCCTGAGCAGAGTCCACATTTCTACCTGCAGTCGGGTCTCCGAAGCTCAGCAGAGGAAAGATGCTCAGCTTCTGGCAGAGCCACAAAGCAGAGGCAGGAGAAGGGGACACAGAGAAGGTGCGCCTTCCCAGGGCACACTCCCAGGGACCCACCTCGGCCAGTCAAGCCCCCCCCCCTAGAGACATCACCCAGCCTTAGATTGTGGTCTAACCATGAATTCATTTTATCTCTGAATATTCCTGTCCTAACAGGAGGTGGTTTTTTTTTTTTTTTTTTTGGTGGGGGGAACCTCCTTTCTAAACCATAAACACATCAATTTGATTTTTATAGCATGTTAGCAATTACATGCTTAAAACTTAATTTACAAAGTGAAACTTGATTTAAAAATAAAAAACCAACTTTTCAAAATTATGAAACTTTATCGGAGACACCGAAGATGTCTTAATGAAGGAATTGGCAGATTATGGTCCTATCGGGAAAGGCTCTCTCTACTCCAGTGACATTAGTTCTTTCTAAATTAACTAATTCATTCAATACATTTGGAAACAACAGCTCTACCTATAAAATCTAACAGGCATTCTCATGTTCGTCAGGAAAATAAATTGTTCTAGGATTGTTGGAAGAATTTTGTGAGGGGAAAAAAACCAGGAGCTTATGTTATCAAGATAGACCACTAAAATCGAGTGACTAAAGTGCACTTAAAATATGTTAATTGTATTTTATTATTACATGAGAAAAAAAAGATGCATCAAGAAAAGAATGGAGAATCTGAAAACGGACCCACGTGTGTTTAAAAATTTACAAAATTGTAAAAATAAATTGAAAAACCCTTATTTTACAATATTAATGCAACTAATTGCAACTGGGTTTGATTGAAATCTGTGTATTCTGAAAGCAAAACTTTACAAGTATAAGAATAAAATGCAGAAGAATTTCCATAGGATTAGATAATACAAACTTGGCCACCCAGGAGAGAAAAACCAAGAAATGACAAAGAAAAAGAATAACCCGATTTTACTACCCTACAATTTAAAAATCACCAGAAATATAGTGATTTCAATATCCTAGTAACAAACATAAACTAAAGACAGAAGAAAACAGCTGGGGTGGAGCTTAGTTGTAGAGCCCTTGCTTTGAATGCATAGGGTTTCGGCCCCAGCACTGCATTAAAAATATAAAAGAGAAATTTTACAACATGATTATATTTTTACATCCTAGAAATAAAACTAATAAGTTGTGTGTAAGATCTCCATACCAGAAAATGTAAAATATTATTATTAATCATCATCCTTATATTATATATTATTTTGAATAAATTAAGATTTTAATAAATGGATTTCTGTGCTGTGTTCTTGGGTTGGAGTGTAGCTATATCAGTTCTTCCCAAATGATTTATATATTTATTCAATTTCAATAAAGATATCAGGATTCTCTTTCTCCCTTTTTGGAGGAAAGTGACATACTGACTTAAGTTTTTTTTTTTTTT